TGTTTTCGTTTCGTTAGCTTGGTGTTCTTTTCCTAAGTTAAATCAGTTTACGAATTTTGAGTTTGCGTTATTGTGTTCTCGTTCTTTCGACAATTTTCGGTGTCTCAAAACCAGTATTCGCCATCCTACAATATCATACCCAAGTTTATTATAATTACTAAAGTGAATCGTTAAAGTTAAAGTATATGTATTATATTTGAAGAAAATTTATAATTATATCATTGATAACTTCATTTTAATACACTCGCGTAGAGAACAGCATTTTCTGTCACACATTTTGGTGCTGTATGTTACATGTACTTCGTGTCAGACTCTACCGTCCCCAGAAATCGCTTATAGTTCCAAAGACATTCTAGATGCTAATTGTTTTTGGATCATCCTTGTTTGTGAGATATTCTTGAAATATTAGTGTCTGTATACATGCACGTAATCTTCAATCTTCCATTAATAATCATACTTATTCACTAATTCTGTTAGCAATCTAAGTCATTTCAATCCTCCAAAGATTTCTCTGTGAAATTTTCTAAAAAAAAAAAAAAAACGTATAGTAATTAAAATTTAGAAATAAATAATTATAGTATACCATATCTTAAATTACAACAAATAAATTTTACATGTATTACATATATGTATGAAAAGATCATTTCAATAATTTAGAAAAATTATTATAATATGCCATAACTTAAATTACAGCAAATAAATTTGGCATGTATCATATATTTCATTTTTTCTAAATTATTGAAATGATCTTTTCACGTCACATCACGTTCTTAGAGTACATTTGAATTTCTTTCTTAAATTCTAAGGCCTTTCAATTTCTCGAGGCTTGTACATTCTTCAAGCGGCCCCAAATTTTAGCAATATGTGAAAGTTACTGTTTCTTTATAACATTAGGTGTTTATGCGTGATCTGAAAGACAGTTCCGTTTGATTTTCTGTCCTCAATCACCGTTCATGTGTCCCCAATCATCATAATATTTTCTATTTTCCAAATAAGTTATGTATTCGTGCAAAAAAAATTCACTGACCCAAAGTACGTGCAACATGTAAAACATGTACAATAAAAACTATGCTTTTATAATTCTCCGATAAATAATCTGTAATCTATGTAATTTTTAACAATTTTTTGATATTAAATTCTAATTCATATGTAACACACATGTCATATTATGGTTCTTGACAATTTAACTTTAAATTTAAATTTAAATAATTTGGAACATTAAAAACTTAAATTTCAGTAGCTACTTAAAATTTCACTCCACGTTAACTTTAAATACTGTTTATAATTTTATTTTTATAATTTCTTAATTGCACATACCCCAAATAATTAAAAGAAACATTGTAAATTTCCAAAGTTAATACTTGTAAGCTAATTAAAATATTTCTACATTAAATCCTAATTACTCATATAAAGGATAAGGAGGATCGATGCGTGAGTACATGAAGGGTGTGTCAAAATTCACACAGGAAGTAATTTTGATAGAAAACACAGGTTTTAAATAAAAAATTGTAAATATTGCTCAACAATGTAGACGTGTCGTTCCTTCGCGTAGCGCTTTATTTTTAATATCCCTTTTACATTTGGGTTCTTATGTCTGCCGTCTAGAGAATAATATATGGGTCCTTGTCACGGTTTATCCTAGCGGTGGTTTAGGTGTCGCTGAGCATGTGCAAGTGAAGGGACCCTTGCAATAGAGGCATAAAACAGGCCTCCATTTGACTTGGGACATTGAGGTCCTTGGGCCGCAACAACAAGGAAACTGCAATCTGAGTCAAATGTTGAATCGCACAATAAAGAAAATAAAAGCAATGAATTCTACAATTAAAATAATAGAAAATTATCTATATAATGAAATATTAAGCAATGAAATTCAGTGCATTCGTTGCAAAAATATATTTTAGTCATAGGAAATATTTGAAAATCATAAAATATCGTGTGAAAGAGAAGAAACGGTAATACGAAAGAAAGAAGAAAGTAATAATAATTGAATTGATAAAGGATCCAACAGTGGAACAGTAATGAACTTTTAATTTATATCAAGAACTTGTAATATTTGTAATGAACATTTTGAAGGCGAAAAACACTTTGACGAACATAAACTCTCATATTATACGTTCTTCCAAGAAGAACATTATCGAATTTATAGTAAAACGAAGTCAATACAATAACTTCACAGATTCTTACAATGTCAACAATATTCCATCGATGCATAATAACAAAGAATGCGTTCAATCACTTCGAATTAATCTATAATGCTAAAAAAAAATTATTAAATCACATTATGGAACACACGAAGGTCAACTTTTATTTAAAGAACAGTGGACAGTTCACATCCTATTATTTCAACCATAAAACTTCAATCACGAGTCAACAGGTAGAAGCTACCACTTCTTAAAGAAGCGAGAGATTTATTCGTCATTGCGAAAGTACAAGTACATTTCTAATAAGAATCACAAGATGACTGTGAAATAGAAGAAAATTCAACAAGTATATCCGAAACTTTAGAACTTCTAAGTGGAGAACTGTTGTCAAACGACGAATATGATACGGACTAAAATGTGGACGAATTAGTGAGAAGCAAGAGGATTCGCTATAATCAAGCACCTCAACAGGATCTAAAATCGCACTGCAATATCTTCGTAAGTACAAAATACAAACTTGTAGGATAGTCGCACATGTCTACAACATCGTCAAACAGTTAGCACACACAGTTAATACAATTCATATGAATGATAACAACTGTCATGTTTTTGATAAACATATTTCATCCATTTTTATAAAATTTATATTTTGAGTTTAGAATTTGCTTAGGTGTACAATCTGAACCTAGAAAAAACATAGGGAATCATCTTTATGCAAACACGAAAAATTTTCAAATTTTAATCTGCCATATTGAATCTAATAACTCGAATTTATAAATTTTTGGTTTAGATTCAGAAACGAGACATTGCTAAAATTTATAAAAATGCCCCCTACTTCTTGATTTTTGATCAATTTTGGTATGCTCCTGGCTCATTGTGCCCACCAACAGAATTAGTATTGATTGGAATATTTGTGGAAAAAAATTAGCCAGCAAATATTCCTTGATGTATCATCAAAAATCCCTTGATTCTTCATCCAAGCCATACATGCGTCGATACTGAGGAGATTAGTTTATTACAAAAGATGTAGAGTCGGGGCCAGAATATATCTAGGAAGTAAAATCGGGCAAACATCGAAACAAACGTGCTTTCGTTGTCGAAACAAACGAATTGACAGAAATACGAGCACTCGAGGGCCATAGACCGCAGTTAGGGCCGTACGAAGATATGTTTTATCCAGTGTCGAAGTATTCCGTAATATTCTATAATACAGGGAAAGCCATTTTTAGAAGTTTCATTACAGGTAAAGGTCTTACCCGATTCTTTAATATCTTAATTTACCTGCCCATAATATATGCAGATAAAAAAAGAAAAAGGTAGTGCAGTTACGGACACAGAAAGGCTATAAATATTTCAGATAGTGACTAATATTTATACGTTTTGTATTTCCGATTTTTAAGAGTTTAATTTACGAACTCGATATATCGTGCCTCGAACTTCTATACGAAAAGAATACGCACTGAAGATCGTCCTTGTGTTTGTAAAATATGTAAAACTGTATACAAACATTGACGCAACCTCAATCAGCATATGAAGCTTCATTCGGAACTCCAATCGTATGAATGTTCGTATTGTAATAAGAGTTTCACACAAATATGGACGTCAAATATACATTGGAAGATTCACACTAGAAAGAAACCATTTGTATATGACACGTACAGTAGAAAATTTTCCTGAAAGAATGACGTATTTAAGCATACTAAAATGAATAATAGCAAATCATTGTTGCGCACAATGCGACGAAGTTTTCAGGAAGAAGAAAGATATCCTAAAGCATATTGTGCAATAAGAAATAATGCCGTATGTTAATATACTATGCTATGGATTTGAATAATTTTTGCTATGAACTAAACGAAATAAATATAAAGGTCTAGTACTGTGCTTATAACACAATTGTACAGGAAATGTATGCAGAATAACGCATAATTTTATATGATTAACTTATTAATAAAAAGATTCTAGCTTTGTAATTATTGCATAAAAAGTAAATATAAATTACTGTGTAGATGAATTATTTACAAGAATAATATTCAGATATAATTCTATAGTTCATAGCCCAATTAAAATAGTAAATGGTAATATTGCCTTCTGTAATACCAAACAGATTTTTTAATAGTATATTAAAACGAGAACGTGATATGCAACAAAAAATATATGGTATATATACAGCACGTATACACAGTATGTATGTATATGTAGCACTCACATGTGGCCAGTCCTTAATAATACGGAGAAATGTTCACTACAGTTTACACTTATTTCCGTCAATTTTACTTATTTGTTTCTGGAAAATGACTGCAACAAAATGTTAACACTGCTACCAAAAAACAGATCGCCGAGGATTTATTCTTTGAAAATGGAAAAGCTTTTTATATATTTTCATCTGCTGAATCCGGATCTAGTAACAAAAACTGCTTGCCATCTTAGGTTCAGGAGATAGATAATTAAGATATACCGATTTTTGTTATATTTCCGAAAATATTCTAGAAATAGTAATTTTTGTCCAATATCTTTATCAAAAAAATCAAATTTGATTTGTAATCAGACGATTTCTTTTGCCCAGCTATATCGCTTTGAAGTTATTCGAAAATCACTGAAAATCATAGAGTGTCTCATCGTTTTGTCGTACATTGTATAAACCAATATCCAACATGAAATATGACGATTAACTTATTCGTAATATTCCATACAGCTACGATGAAACATCATATTTGTATACGTACGTAACATAATAATAGTACAGCATCAACATTGCAAATTTAATGACATTGTATTCTTTGAATTCTTTAACATCGTAATTATCATTTCAAACTACTATATATTCGTAAGTCATTGTCTATAAAAGATCCATGATTCGAACTGCGATGCCTTTTTACACTTAAAGGCATATCAGAGAACATTATATCTTCATTAACATAATTTTGATGAAATTTGAATGATAAAATTGAGAAAAAATTAAAAGAGTGCGAATAAGTATTATAAACAAATAGATATAGAATAATCGGGGAAAAGAAGTGCTAAAATGAAGGACGCGAACAGGACTCCACATCCAAACGACGAGAGAAGTTCAGCGAACAACTGCAATGGTCAAATACGACAGTTTTATGCTGGCAAGCATGTATTACTTACAGGATGCACCGGTTTTCTGGGCACCGTTGCTGTGGAGAAAATCTTACGCACGTGTAAAGAAATTAGCAAGCTTTACATCATGATTAGGCAAAAGAAAGGCAAATCGGTAGAAGAACGGATAAACCATTTCTTTAAAAATGACGTAAGTACCATAATTCCACAATAAAATGAAAAGGAAATTAATACATTATAGTAAAAACTTAGTCGTGTTTTTCTCATTGATAATTTTACATCTAACGACCAAAGTTTAAAATTTTAACTGCTTAATAACCACTCGCGCAAATATATCGTTATGGGAAGAAATAATTCTCTTGTCGTTTTCAGATATTTGATAAATTGCGCGAAATGAATCCTAACTTTATGGAAAAGATCGAGGTGATTTACGGCGACTTGGAGAAAGAGGACTTAGGCCTCTCACCAGAGGATCGTCGTCGTCTCGTGGAGAACGTGAATGTAATAATTCATAACGCATCGATGGTGCATTT